TTGTTGAAAGGATTATTTTTGTTTTCGAAAGGAAAGATATCTTCTAGTCCTTCGAAAATCTTTCGAACGACTTCGCATTCGACGAAGAAATAAATTCATTTGTATTTTTTTACGTGAGATGAGCGTTGTTTTATGTGTCGAGGTAATTTCTTTGTTTTTCTCTTCACGAGCTCATGTAATTTTTTTGGAGCGGACTTGATTTTAGAATCCATTAAGGCTTGTTCAAATGTTCACTTGTTTTTCTAATGTACAGCCATCGAATTCGATGTGTTTCTAATGAATGAATAGACATAAAGCACGCGAAAAGGGTTCTGCTTGCTGGATAAATAGTAGTTCTTGGATGAAGAACTATGAAATAAATTTTGCAGTGGTGTTGAAAGAAAATCGAGACTGATGCGTAATTCTTTCGCACGAGACGCAATTCTCGGTAAAAATAAGTACGACACGTGTTCTTGAGAATTGGTTCTGGACTGCGAAGAAAAAGAAATTCCTACTTGCAGTGAAAAACATCAGATGCAAAGAGAAATGTTTCAAGCCGAGGTTTTAGTGATGTTCTGAGTTCATATAACGAATATTGCTCCAAAATTTTATTGCTGATGGTAATAATTTATGTTTCTTTGTCGTATTGTATATTGATCCATTTTTTCATCAGCGCGGGAAGAAAATACTGAATTTTGCATCAAAGTTGCAGTAAGGATAATCGTGATGAATCTGTCTAGGGATTGGTTTTCGCTTTTGTAACTCGAGCGTGTTTCCGGTTGCAATTCTTTTTCCTTCTTTTTTTTCTTTCTTTCTTGGTTTGTCAAGCGTGGGACTAATTTGTCTGGGTGGTTCCCGGGATTGCGTTTCTTGTGTGGGTGGACGTGTGGCTCGTGGGTCTCGCTTTTCCGAAGAAGCATTTATTTCTTTTCTCCTTTTTTTNAAGGTCCTCGAAAAACACAAATATTCTGTATTGAGCAAGTGTCCCCATATTGCGTAGCATTCTTCGGATAACCGGATTTATGCTTGAAGTATTTTCCGATCAGAAGGAATGAAGTCCGTTAACCGAAGCACCGCTGTACACATTTTTCATTTTTCTTTTCAACTTGCCTGGCAATCTTGGAGAAAATCGTGCATTAACGAAATGAAAGAAAACATGGTACAGTTGATCATGAGGCGTACTCGAAACCCCGGAAATGGGCGTTTTCGTCAGGAGATGCGTGTATTTTATTCATTCATTGCCCTCCTGAGAAAGAACGTTCTACGTCAATTATAGCCAATCCCAGATTTTTCCCCCGAGCCAGACGATAAACCTGAGTTTTTCTCGGGTAACCTGCATTTATCGGTTCTTGGGTGTGTTCATCATCTCGAAAAGAAAAAAAATTCGGAACTGAAAATGTTCCTCTTCTGAATAATTTCGTTTGAAATATGATGCAATATTTGGTTTGTGGGCGGCGGATGACGCTGTGTTTAAAGTTATTACTATTTTTCCGGAAAATAAAAGACAAACTTTTTTGAAGGGAAGCAGTTTTTGAATGGAATCTGGAGTGGATAATTTTAGCGCGCCCTGTTTTTGCTGGATCATCGTCGGAAATTTGATTTACATTTTTTTTTTTTGCTGAGAAGTTTGCTTATGAAGTTCGGTTTTTTATCTTATTCGCCTATGATGTTATCTTGACTTCGTAAAACAACTCACTTGAGAACATGAATGATGTTGAAGGGACGAAAAAGACGTAAAAAGAAACGGAACATTCAATAAAAATACAGTAATTTAAAATAATTTTTTGTGCTATTGGAGAAGTGCCTCGTCCAGTTTTATTTTAATGGTGCTTCCAAGAATACTGTTATTGAACTGAAATTCACAACCTGGAAAGTTTTTCCAATCGTTTCTCCGCAAGAAGTATCGCAAATTTTGGAGAGGTATTAATTATTCTTGTACAAAATTTGCAAAATACTTCCGAGTCCATTTTTGAGAATGACACAACACTCGCGCGTCTAATTTCTTTTTGCAAAAATAACGGGAATGTATTCGATCAATAATTAAACTTCAGGGTGAATTGTCAAGTGAGGATGTCGATTAAATTTTTGAGCGAAGTATTAAAAGGAATGCATGCGGATGAAACTTGACGTTACATATTTTATCTGGTATGAAATTTGAAAGTTATGACAATAAACGTCGTTACTACACCCTAACTAAATTCTCTTCACTGCGAATACTGACCCATATCTACGTACCAGGATCCCCCACCCTCAGAACCCATCTAAACCTCGCGGGAGCAACAGCTACCGCGGGGATACCCCTCGCGGAGGGTAGTCAACCTTAGACTTTCGTACAAATGTGTACAAATTCAGGATGATATACCTTTCGTGAGACTAGAAAACCAGTGATCAAACTATATCTATACTTTCAGAAAAAAAAAAAAAAAAAAGATGAGCGAATCATTCTCGGAAAATCACCACATCAGTGATGACGAATCATCGCT